GCTGTGACCTTGAAAGTAGGTCAAGGTCATTTTAATGAGGAAACTTCATAGCAGTCCATCCCAGCTACTACTGGCCAAATATCATGACCCTGGGCCTTATGGAACTTGAGAAGAAGATTGTTAAAGATTTTAACCAAAGTTGACATTTGAACCCCCCACTAGCATTTAAAGTTGACCTTTGACCTCATAACTGTAACTGAGAAAAATATTCGCACTGCTAGTCTCCATAACATATCCAAGTACCATGACTCTAGTTCAAATGGTTCTTAGGAAATTGTTGTTTGAAAAATTTCACATATTTGACCGCTGTGACCTTGAAAGTAGGTCAAGGTCATTTTAATGAGGAAACTTTATAGCACTCCATTCCTGGTACCTACTGGCCAAATATCATGACCCTAGGTCCTACAGTTCTTCAGAAGAAGTCGTTCAAAAGAAAAAGTTGACGGACGACGGACGACGGACGCCGCAGTACGGCATAAGCTCACATGGCCCTTCGGGCCAGGTGAGCTAAAAACTCTTCAAACTTTAACCAATATTAATTTTCAATCACTGTCCACCGAGGACCTACCATGCACAAGACTGGGATTATAAGAAAATAGACAGAAAGATAAACGTAACACGCCACAAAGGCGATAGTAATAGACACATTATGTCAAAAATGAATTTCACTGCGTCATACAACTGTATCGAAATAGGCAGAAAACTGTCGTCCTGTCATCTTGACATCCGTCACATGTAAAATTATTTTGGAATATATGATAGAAGAGAACATGAAATTCTGTACAAGCATGAAAATAATTACTTCAATATCTGGAAGATCGGCCTCATCGTGACTATACGAAGTTTCAGACGGTCTGAGATTGCATTTATTCCGTCTTTGCGTATTGCAGAGTTATCTTCTCTTTGCAGCAGGTATTGATTTTTACGTCATTGGTTTGTGTGCGAGAAAAAATTGATGACCTTACTCTCACAAACAAGTGACGTAACAATCAATACCTGCTCCCAAGAGAAGATAACTCTGCAATACGCAAAGACGGAATATTGACTACCAAGAAACTTTCGATAGAGTTTCTCATATGCGCCTCATCAGTAAGCTACAGTCGGACAACCAAGCATTTCTAATCTAAACATATCTTAATATGCTAATAGTTTAAATGGTATGTTGTATATAATTGTGATATGTGTATCACGTAGTATTGTGATAATGTTGTCTCATAGGTCAACACTGGCCGGATTTTTATTTTGCATGGTTCTTAAATATTGTAAAAAGTATTTTATGATACATGAAGGTGTTGAAATGTGGGACACGTTTATAAAACATTATCGTTATTTTCTAATCAATCAGTTTCATGGATGTCCAACTTTGTGTCAGGTCGGCATCTTTCGGTGTTATTTTATCGGTATACTACAAGGATCATTTGTGAGTCAATGTCCTTTTGTTATTTTTTCCTATCGAGCTTCCAAGCTTTGTGGATTTAGATATATATATATATATATCTTTTTGGAAGTTAAAGAGAAGGTTGGAAAATTATCTAATAAGATTAGGATGTAATGTGTGGATTAAGTAGTAAACACGTTTCAACTGTAATGGAAAGAGTATAGTAATTTTTCGTTGTCAATCTGTTCTTTTCCAATATTACTTCTGCTAAAATTAGATAGTATTATGGAGTGGGGACAGGATTTAGTGTGAAATTTTCAGTAATTCATATATAACACTTGCTTTATACACAATATGGATGTACTTTCCATTTAACGAAAACTTCCGAAAAAATAAGATAAGAGCGAGGGCATTGTGTAGTTGAAGGCAACGATAAATGAAAAAGCTGAGAAAGCTTTTGCTTGTGTGTATTTGCAATGTCCGGAACCCCCCCCCACACTTATCTGCCAAAATTTAAGACATATCTTGTACAGTCTTGTTTGGAATACGTTAGTGCAAATATGGTCACCTAACATATTTATTCATTTTGTTAATGAACTTGTCCCAGTCACGAAATATAGTGTATATATGCAGTCACATGATTGTATTGTATAGAATGATCTGTGATGTATATCAAAAAGAAATCAAACTGAGATATGATGTAGCTCTATCAAACATATTGGGATGTGGGAGGTGGATAGGGATTCAATTAAGAAGAAATTCAATAAACAATATCTGCATAAATAACTAGGGAAAATGTATGTCAAGTGAATGCCCTGATGTGGGGTCTAGATTGGTGACTTTCAGACAAACACTTCTAAGTGCTTCCTTATTATGTGCATGAAAGACAGACTGAAAAGACAAACACATGATAGAACCACTTTCGTTTGGTTACATTACACGTTACATATTACTGCTTCAGTTGATTTACAGTCTTCTTCTATCGGCTCATTCAAAATAAATATCAACACAAACATATTACCTTAAATACACAATGTGGTAGTATTGTTGGTTTAACTACCCGACCAATTTGAAACTTTCCAAAAAGTTTACCATACTAAACATATACATGCGGTCGGGTTTTTAGTGGTGTGCTACCTTCAAGGAACTTCTTTTGTGAATATATCCTTCCGCGTTTTCTTATTAAATAGTTCTAGGTTGTACACGGAATATTTTATTAAGTACAATGTTTTTGTGTGTTTATTGATATTTCGAAAAATCATTTTTAATTAAATATGTTATTTTAATTGCTAAATAATTGTTATAATGTTGACACATTAGATTACAATGAGGTCGTAGCAACAGCGGAAGTGTATAGCGTCGCAAGGGATGTCATTAGGCTGCTTCTGGTTTTATTGAATCCGGTAAAAAATAGTTGTAAAAGAAAAACGTCAAAATGACTGATTCAAATGGAAGAAAATTGTCGCCAGCTGCAGCACGGAACTTGGGAATGTATAGGGAGTCTTGGTGTGCTGTTGAAATGAAGAAGGAACAAAGCTGGTGTCGGAAGGAAAGAAAACATGACCCCGAGCAGTTCAGTAGCTCCGTTTTTGATAAACACCAACCAGGTTACGAGCCAAGATGTACGTTCGCAGTAGAAGCACCTACACACCGAGAACGGAGGCACTACCAAGATCAATGTAAGTTATATGTGTATGGTGATACAACAGTATTGCATGTGTTGGTGAATGGACAGGTCAGGGTATAAACATAAAACACTATAGGGAGTTGTACATGTAGTCTACTGTACATTTGTTGAGAAAAGTGGAGAGTAGTTCTATAAAGTACAGTACCAGTTTTCTATCTGTCAAAAGTCTGATGCTGGGAAAGGAAGAAATTCAGGCTAGTAGCTACAGTACTGTAGTCTGCATGTAAAACTCTCAATAATATGTTTTGTGTTGAATTATAGCATTTCAGTATTAGGTAGTTTTGGTACTTAATTACTTGCTGTAAATACAAAAAATAGCTGAAGAAACTTATTATTAAAATATTTAGCAAAACACAGGACACTAGAAGTGAACAATGTACAAAATTGAAGTACATAAAAGTCCAAGTGCCATAAATCTTATAGGATATCAAAAACCTTTTGGAAAGAACCAGAACATCTCATGAAAGTAACATAACAGCCCGTTACTGAAGCGTCTGTACACCTGTGATGTATATTGGCTATCTACAATTATATAACCTGGAATGCTGTGAACCTCATCCGACTATACTGTATAGCAAAGTAGTCTGGGAAGTTGCACAATTTAGCTTTCAACCATACATTTGCATTCATTTAATTACATATTGAGAATAAACTTTTCACATTTTAGTTTGAGTAGTTTTTTTTGTCAAATTTTCTTTGAAATTGTACAGTGCAAATGTAGCTTATATGCTTGTGATTACATTTAAACTGACTGTCACATTGTCCTGTGCACATGCTCATAACAAATGCCTTTTCAGGGCTTGAAATAGACCCTAAGAGCATGTTTTTGACTCAAAAAAATGAGCTTTGATTCTTATTTTATAAGTTTTAAAGGAGAGGTCCATTTGACATATATTTTGACTCAAACAACTTAGGGAACATTTTAGTTGACTTTTGAAATTGCTTATTGTCGTGGGTCAACTGAAAACCCCAAAGTATGCAAGCCATTCATATATATATATCTTTTGTTGGCCAACTCTTGTGTTACTCCATCAATCAATGTATATGTCCTTGCTTTGCAGCATTTATTTGCTCAACCCCAGTTTTCCTGTATACCATAATATTTACCTAAGCTTAGTATGTAAGTTGCAGAGCTTGATTAGTTATGCAAGAGTTTGCTCTTACCAACTCATATTGGTGCAGGCATATGCATCAATTTTTGAAATTTAATTGTAGCTTCTTGTTAATACAGCCACTATCCTTTCAGCTACAGTATCAGGATAGTTAAAGCCAGTTCCTGGATAGTGCGAGTGTAGAGGCTGAATTAACGTGACATGGCAGTAAATTTTACGACATTAACATGTCATTAAATATTATAAGCAAAATATTCATTATAACAACATACCTGGTATATGATGGTGTGCTTTGCTTTGGTAATGGGGCTTTAAATGCTTAATGCAGTGTGCTTTGTCTTTTAATATATTGCAGACAACTGTCAAATGAAGATTTGATTGAACAGTCCATGCAGAAATGATTATGAAGATTTCATGTTGGTTACCAAACAGTCCATCATCCCCAAGTCAAGCTGTGTGAAGATTGGAATTAAAAACATTGAACATTTTGTAATGTGCTAGTATTTTTAAGAAAAAGAAAATCGGATATTTGTGAAAATTGATATTTCATGCTTGTGTGATTAAATGACAATATGAAATATTTAATTATGATATGAAATAGAATACTAACCTGCCGAAGTGATAATGTGTGAACATCAGTATTACAAAATGTTTATGCATTGTTGAAATGTTGAATAATTATTTACATCTGGAATATTCTAAGTCAATATTTGTGAAAATCGTTAATATCTGGAAGTGTGATTAAATAACAACATTAAATATCTATTTATGGTATAAAATGAAATGGAATACTAACCTTTTTACAACCTAAGAAATAATGTGTGAACATCAGTATTACAAAATTTGTTCATGCATTGTTGAAATAATGAATAATTATTTACATCTGGAATATTCTAAGTCAATATTTGTGAAAATCGTTAATATCTGGAAGTGTGATTAAATGACAACATTAAATACCTATTTATGGTGTGAAATATAATACTAACCTTGTTACAGCCTAAGTGATAATGTGTGAAGATCAGTATTACAAAATTAGTTCATGCATTGTTGAAATGTTGAATAATTGTTTACATCTGGAATCTATTTGTTATGTAGGTTTGAAATCAGTATTACATTTTATCTGTATGTATTCTATGTAGAAGCACGTCAGTATTTTTTATGTATTTATGTCAGCATTTTTCATATTTATGTAGGTTTAGCATAGATCTACTTTTACATTCCTGTTATAAGAATTTTATCATAATTTTTATAAAGCATATATTTAATCAGATTATAACTGTAGAATTTCTATCGTTACTTTCTAATACAACACAGTATTATCAGTTGATGTACATTATATGCGTAAATAGTCAGATTACATTGCTGCACTCTTTATCTAGATGTCTATATTCATTTTTAATAATTTGCTCAAGTGCAATGTGCGCAAGATTGTGGGTGTTCAAATAAATTTGATTTAAATCAAAAGATTTAATACTTTGTGTGTATTCATGTACATTTATCATCACATTGGTGATTACAACTCAGTACAGTCGGTATATATTCCCAGCCCAGGAGTGTCTAATGTTGTGTAATGTTATTGTTAAGTAAATTTAAAATGAGGCATATTCCGAAAAGTAGCTTTTGAACCAGTACATTATGTGGCTTGTTACACACCATTACTGGGGACAGATACTTGGTAATCGAATGACAATGTTAATATAAACCCCAGATAAGTTACTACACACAAAGGAAACCCAACATAATTTCTGTAATACAGAAGACTTTTGACGGGGAGTACATTGTAGCACATGAAGCAGGTAACAGAGATCATACAGACACAATGATAATCACAACCTAAAACTGTATCAAGTAAGACCAAAACCTGTCTAATTAGACCTTTATCAATCAGTATTAAAACCTGTCTAATAAGACCTTTATCAATCAGTATTCAAACCTGTCTAATAAGACCTTTATCAATCATTATTCAAACCTGTCTAATTAGACCTGTATCAATCAGTATTAAAACCTGCCTAATAAGACCTTTATCAATCAGTATTCAAACCTGCCTAATAAGACCTTAATCAATCAGTATTCAAACCTGCCTAATAAGACCTTTATCAATCAGTATTCAAACCTGTCTAATTAGACCTGTATCAATCAGTATTAAAACCTGCCTAATACCTTTATCAATCAGTATTAAAGCCTGTCTAATAAGACCTTTATCAATCAGTATTCAAACCTGTCTAATAAGACCTTTATCAATCAGTATTCAAACCTGTCTAATTAGACCTTTATCAATCAGTATTCAAACCTGTCTAATTAGACCTTTATCAATCAGTATTCAAACCTGTGTAATTAGACCTCTATCAATCAGTATTAAAACCTGCCTAATAAGCCCTTTATCGATCAGTATTCAATCCTGTCTAATTAGACCTTTTTCAATCAGTATTCAAACCTGTCTAATAAGACCTTTATCAATCAGTATTCAAACCTGTCTAATATGACCCCAGAGTATTACATCTTGTCATATCTGACATAAAAGGATATCTATAAATCCGTCCTCTTCAATGTACAGAGCAGGGCTTTAACAGAATTTTATCACATTCGATCAGGTCATCTCATTTCTAATTAAAGTTTCCAGTTAAAACCTGTGTTTTCTGACAACTTGTCTAATCCAAAGATTTAAACATGTATGACATTATAACAATATAGCAACATAATACAGAATATTAGTTTTTATTTCATTTTATTACTCTTGCCAGTTTAGGAAACAATTTCAAAGCATTGGCTGTGGTAATTCTGGACAGTTCAGCGACATCTAGTTTCTTCCTGGTGGCTATGTAATCACAAGATAAAGCAATGTTTTTGGGTTCATTTCTCATCTGAAAGAACAAAATCAAGTTATCAAAAGTCTAAAAGAACAAAATCAAATAATATAAAAGGAACATTTGCAACAAGTTTCATAAATTTCATTGGAAGTGGAATCAAACTTTAGATCTTATCAATAATCAAGAACCTTTTCAAATATTGTGTAAAACACCATTTTTCATATCACTCCTGAAGTCTAAATTTTACCATTTTGGCTCTATATTTATTGTCTCCATTGTGATTTTTTTTTTATAAACTGGAAGTTAACACCTTTAAGTGATATGAGCCTTTACTTTTTTGTAAATATCACATGTAACCGTGGTAACTGGTGTAAAATAATTCAATTTAGCGACCAAAGAAACAATCTTCTAAATGAAAAAGTTGGCAAAAATAGGAAAAGACCATATGTGTCTACCATAAAAAGTACAAAGTGTGCTTCAATTATATAATGTGGTAGTGGATAGAATGTTAAGTAGTTCATCCCAATGGGGATTGGATACAGTCCGAGTGAATAAAGTAATCATACAAGTTACATGTACTCTTAAACTCAGTAGTACAGAATTATAAAAGGACAAATAAAATACAAACATTTTTTTCTGGTCCAAGTGCAGGAGAGTCAGATTCTAGTAGGATATTGGTGACTGGTAGCCGATGAACCAGTTTGCTCTGAAATTATAGAGAATAATTAGGTATGCACCCTCCTTACTAAAAATGTAAAGACATTTCTGGACCTTAAATCTTTTGTGATAACTAAATTTGATTGCTGCTATCACAAAAAGGACATACATATCCTTTACTCTAGCATGTTGTCTAGTCATCATACATTTATCATCTGTGAGGTTTCATCAAAATATGTTCAGAGGCTATGGCCTAGACAAGTACTACACACATTTGAGGCTTAAACCTTTGCCGATACCCTCCAGTCAGATACATCCATTTGTGAACTGTTATCGAGATATATTCATCTATGCACAAGAACAAGAGTGTGTTGTACTATGACCACCTGCTGCAACTTTAACTTAACAAATGTACATACTGTAGATTGAAACAAGACCTACCATACACTTACAATGTTTCATTGACATTAAGAAAATAATCAGTCCTTCAGAAATGTTGGAATTGATATAAATATGGTAAAGATGGACACTGAACAACCCTTTATTCCCTCCAAGGGGCAATCAGTAAGGGATCAATCACAGCATCATATAGGGACTTTATTTGTTACATACCTAAGTCTGAGCAGTGCATACCTTGATCAGATAAAGTTACCAACAATGGTCATTATAATTTTTCTCAAGAGCTACATAGGACTACCCCAGGCCAAAACCACCTGATCATGAAGAACAGTAATCAGTGCATTTAATGCCTATAAACAGTACTGTGGACCCAGGCAATTCAACATATGGATAAAATATGGAAACTCAACAATTCTTTACAGTAATTATGACCCTAAACTTTCACTAGTGACCTTAATACATAATGTATCAATATCAACAAACATGTAAAACATCCATATTTTGTAAGGGGTTTCCTACATTTACTTCCAAAAATTGACACCTCTCTAAAGAATCAGAAACTCGCAACAATTGGTTTAGATGTTAAAAGATGTGTCTATAGTGTTTTTGGTTGTTGTTGCTGAGAGAGCATTGGATCAATGGTAAAAACATGAATAAGTCTTAATTTCTGATTATTGTTCAAAATAAAACCAAGTTAATTGTGCTGCTTCTGGTTAAAAATGCTTGCAATAGAAATCTCCCTACTCAAAGCTCAATTTTTCTACCAGTAGGAGAGATTTCTCCCTACAAGTTGGAAACATGTATACAAAATATCAGTCCAGTAGATCAATGCAAACTGCACTTATTAACTCTGAATTTGACTTTTGACTACTGAACTACAGAGTGTACAATGCATTTTGTAGTAGTTCCTTTTTTCAAACTACCTTTTTTTCTGTACATGTAAATAGCAAGCACTTAGGTAGCAGTGTACAGTAGAAATGGCCCGACTCTTATAAACAAGGCACATGTCGAGGAAATGTAAACACAGCGGATTTACCCTACACAACACATGTATACATGTATATCCATTTGTAAACTGCATTACATTTAGAATACATATAAAGTTCTGAGAAGTGTATAAACTTCTTTTTTCTATGTATGTCACTTGTGTGAAAACCATGGTTACCACATCAAAAATTACCAAAAAAATGCCAAAAAATGCTATTTTTGACCCAAAATTTGACCCCCGCAACTAGTATTTTTTTTCTTAGTTCTGTCTGAAATTAAAGATTACCTTCCTGGTTGCAGAATTATCTTGGTCCCAGTAAAGTTGGTTTTTTTGCAATTTTGTGTCGTGTGCTGTTGTCAAAATTTAACCTTCTGTAAAGCTAGCTTTTCATGTGTGGGCACCCTTTCGGATTATGGCCAAAATTTTATTCGCGAACCAAAAAAATCTTCTTTTTTTACAAATGTGAAGCTCACAAAGCCCACTTCATCATGCTTATACCAATTTTAGTACAGTTTTGTTTTTATATTTTTTTTACATATCATTATACAGGGGTTAGCCATTTAACAAAAACATCACCCATGGCCACAACCCTCTACTGTATACTGCTACCTTAAACCTTGAGTAAACTGACTTACCTCTGGATTTCTGACACAAGATGGCGGTATAGAGAAGAAGTACCCAGCCTCCACACCTGTCATAGCCACAGCTGGCTTACCATCAAAGGCATGTAGCAATACCTTGTCTGCACCTGGAACACATTTAGCGCCGTTAACCCACAAACATTCACATGACATTGTGACAGTCCCCATTCATTAATCTAAATAATTTATTTGTTATCGAAGACTAAAGTACCAAGGTCCCATGTGAAACAAAGGTTCCCGTCATTTTAAACTTACCAAATTCTTGTAAGGCAGCTATAGTTGGTCTTCCTGCCGATCTTGAATGTACATTCCTGTAATACATCAACAAACATATAATATCTGACAAATAAAACAAAGTATTGTAAGTAATCCAGGGTCTAACACATTCCGACAAACTTTGGTGTCAAAATTAACAATAGCCATATCTCTGTATAGTGGAGCACAAGTCTATTTCAGTTGGTAAAACTCCAGCATCTCAAGAGCTTCTATGGTAATGGCATACAGAATTAGGTAATCGTAGGTGACAGAGCATGTATGGTATATACTCCAGACAATGTGATGCATAGACAGAATGATGGATACAAAGAGTGGGAACACATATGAAGTCACCTACAGTACTTCTGACATTTATAAACAACAAAGTTTATGTCAAATTATTGCTTGCAACAAATATGTCTCTTACAGCTGGAGAACATTTTTAAAGTCAATTTAAAGTTAGTTTCCAATACAGGAGCTGATGGAGCTCTTCTACACAGGACTCAAAATTACTGGTATTTAAATAATATACTGGCAATCATCTAAACATTTCAAGATTATACCAATCTGACACAGGCTCACTATCAGTATCACTTACACCGGTAAATCATATTTCTTTGCCAGGTCAACCTGAAAGAAAAAGAACTAAGAATTAAAACTGAAATGAAATCAGAATTACATCTACAGGACGGTTGTACATTTATACACACAGTAAAACCTAGATATAAACTTAATGCTTTCTATATGTCTAACATTTCATTAGCCACCCAGCTTTCCATCAACAAAGTTCAATTTTTTTTCTTCGTTATTCTGTTGTATTTTCCCTTAATGTATTGCCAAACTCCTCAATAATGCTTAAGTTATGCTGGACAAATGGTGGCAATACATGTATAACACTGTTTTACTGTATTGATATTTATGTTGTTAACAAATTGCTTCTTTACCCCACAGATATTGGCCTAACAGTCTAAAACAAGGCATGAAGGGGACCTCAAGACCTGTCCTATGTGAAGAATACAGATTTCCATAAAAAAACACCACATTAAATGATTTGGAATTATGAGAATTAAACAAACAATGGACCTGTATACATTCAGCAGATGAAAGCAGAAAAAAACACTGGAGAAGGATAGGAGCCAACATTTTTCTACAAAAGTACTATCCATGCACCTTACAAGTAGATTTTAGCTGTGGCAATGTTACAATAATTATCTATGCTTGTTGAGTTTTATATTTGTGCTAGTTTTGTTGACTCAGTGAAATGCGATTTGAATGTTTCATAAGATACAGAGCTTTCACCAGTTTATAAGTCAGATACATGTATAAATAAAATTTAAAAAAATCTCTCCAGAACTTAACACTCATCAAGGACCAAGCTTAGTCATGTTATGTGTTATATGTCATTGAATGTACTGTGGAAATGAGTTACATGTACTAGGTACCAAGGATCTACAGTATACGTGAAATGTTTGGATCTTTTGTCTGTTTGTTACAAAATATGATTGTACTAGTCACATAAGTCTTACATTGCTTGGGAATGTCATGATAATTTACATTGAAAAATGTGCTATAAGTTTGAAATGGATATACCTGCACACTGTATACAAGTGCAAACATTTATTAAAATATTTATATTGAAACAATGTGTGTTTTATAAATAACTTAAAAAACAACAACAAAAAACATCACTTGTATAACATGTCCCTGCAAAACATAAGAAAATCCTTTAAACTAGCTAGGTGACCTTAAAGCCTTGATCTTTGGGTTTAGTTGCAGCAGCTAATTAACTTGCTCTCTCGTCATATAGCTGTGTGAAATACACGTTACTGCTATGATATTCCTTTTCTTACTTTGTGAGAAATTAGATGTTTAAAAAAACTTTAACGAAAGGACTTTAACTTTCTTCATTCTTTTCCTGATGTCTTAGTGTACCTAAAGGACACATGGAAAGACACTTTGTAAGCCCCATTTGAAGTGAGGGCATAATAATTTAAAAACAGTAGAGACGATTCACTAAGAAAGCTGAACTTGGCTACAAGTCTAGGCCATACCACTTACATTATCTCAAACAAGTCTATTTAATTATACATGAAATACTTTTACCTGTATCTTTAGCACCTGTCTCTGGATGTCTTTGTCCTCTGGTCTCACACATATCCTTGGCTGGAAGTCCAAGCCTATCTGTCAAAAAAACAATACTGGACTCAAAACACAATTGCATAATATCTAAATTAATTTTCAAAAAGTTAAGTAACATGAGGGAGGTCACCCATCCAACTACTGACCACGCTCGACGTTTGCTGACCTAGTGAGCGGGTCCCCGGGGTATACCACATCACTGGAAAAGCTAGCTTGCCAGTAAGGCAGTATTTTCCCTCATATTCCTTATCTGTTACACTATCCCCCTCCGAGAAGTCTCGTCCCGAGACTCGGCCTGGGGAATGCCGTATGTAGGTCCTCCCTGTGTATCAATGCACCTTCCCAAACCACTGGGAACTGGCCTTACATGATCACACAGAAATCCCACCGCTGCCACCAAATGTAATGTGCGGGCGGTCACCCATCCAACTACTGACCACACTCGACGTTGCTGGACTAATGAGCGGGTCCCAGGGTTATATACTGCATCAGTGGAAAAGCTAGCTTGCCAGTAAGGCAGTATTTTCCCCTCATATACCTTAGCTGTTACAGCTATGTACAACTTAAAAGTTTATTTTCTGAATTTAAGGAGATATCATTCAATGTAATTTTTCTACAATATATTGGTTCCTATAAGACGGGAATTAAAAAAGACAGTGCTTCCTTGGTTTAACATTATATATAATATTGAATTGAGCTTAAAGAGACAATGTGAAAACCAGGATATGAAGAATTGAATGATGACTTGTGTAGGTTACTGACCTCTCCAATGGCAGCAATACAGCTGATGTTCTGTTCTATAATGGGTATCGCCTTCTCTACATCCTACAAATATTTAACAAAATAATCAAATGTCACAGCCTTAAAAATAAGATTTAAATGTGTATTTCCTTAAACTTGTTTTTACAAACACAAGAAAATGTTTAGAATTGAATATAGCTTTGGTACATATGGGTACATTGTAATAACTATTCGAATGAGAAAATATTTTTTTCTTGTTACAATGTAGAGTCGGATACTTCAGTAAGGAATGGAGTATTTGGTAATGAAATGTCTTACCTCCAGTGTGACACACCTCTGGTTTCCAGTCAGGGCACCCTTAAAAACAATTTACATTGATTGAAAGCAAATATGTGGCTAAAATGATAACATTTTTTTTAATTGTTGTTTCATAAGATTTCATGTTTTTTTTCTTCAGTCTGACACTAGAAGTTTAGGTAAAACAGTTTAACTCATAACCAATAAGAAACATTTTCCTGTGCCGTTTTAAACTTCCATGATTTAATACAAAATCTACACATTCTTGTGCATCAAATGAACCATTACAGAATTCTGTTCTTCCTCTCTGTCACCACCTTGCAACTTTCAATATGATTCAACAAATACAACAAACAATTTCACATGAGTCAGGGTACCTCACCTGTACTGGGTGAACTCCAAGACAAGGGAATACAAAATCTGGATGTCTAGAAATTGAAAACAAATATCAAAACATGTATTACCCTGGTACTTGTGCTTCAATTTTTCATATCCATGAAATTCCATTTCAAAGCAAGATGACTTATATATAATATATATACTACAAGTGTAACACAAAATAACATTCAGCAGATCACTGCACAATAAGAGACACAGATAATTTATTTAAAGGACTATGTATGGTTTGGGCCTGTATTGGCCCCCAAATGCATCAAAATTCAAAACCTTTAAATGAACTTTGAAATGACTGTTTCTTTAATTTTGAATACTTCCCAAATACTATTATGAAAATATTTATTTATATTTCTAATTATTGTTGCCATGGTAACAAGTTCAAATTTGCATAAATTAGAAAAATTTGAATATTCAGTGAATATTGTGATATTTTGCATAGTTTTTCTCCTAGAAACTATAGAGTGCATGCTTGAACAAACTTAATATCAAAGGATAATGTGTAGGCACCTGTAATACATCTTTAGGAGAAATATAAAGTTTGTTCAAGAGTGCACTCTATGGTAGCTAAGAGAAAAACTAGGTGAAAACCTGTCAAAATTGACTGAATAATCAAATTTCAATAATTTATGCAAATATGACCTGGTTACCATGGCAGCCAAAATTGAAAACACAAATAAATGTTTACATAATAGTACTGGGGAAGTATTCAAAATTAAAGAAACAGTCATTTGAAAGTTCTATTGCAGACTTTTAATTTTGATGGATTTGGGGGCCAAAAAAGGCCCAAACCATACATAGTCCTTTTCAAATTATTAGCATTCTAATAACTTTTTGTTTCATGAATCCAGAAGGGCATAAAAAAGAAGACAAAAACTATCAAATAATTATTGATCAAATACAATTAAATTCAATGTTAAAGCTTAGTAGCTAATACTAGTTCATACTGTATGATCAGCTATAACTCTTCGTCTCTTTGTAAAATATGAATGAATTCTTTGCGTTTGCTTCTGATTTTCTATGTTGGTCATTATCCAGACAGTAAATATGAATGCACACTCCCTTAATATAAGTAAGAGTTAAGGGAGCGAACTCCCAGAGACAATGACAGAGACAATGTGAAGTATTTTCCACATCCCTTCCTTTTTCATTTATTTAGAATTGGTAATTCTAAAGTTAATAATTGTTAAAAAAGGCTTAGCTCAAAAGTCATCCTCAACGTATATTTCTGTACACCCCTGTAATATGTCAGCTAGGCTCTTAAATAACATAACACATTGCAGAAGATACAAGTAGACTAATCTGATGTCTTCGATGAAGATCAAAGATATTGCGGGGAAGCTAACCAGCTAATTTGGCAGACTCTGAAGTTTGGTGTAGCTCCTCTGTAATCAGGGACAGGTATCAGTATTAGTGATTGGTCAGGTTTTCATACCTGAAACCAATCAAATAGCTTACCCAAAGCCTTCAATTTTGTTATGACATATTCCAGGGGTGCAGAGATGATAGTATAATGAATGCTGAACTCCTGGATGTATAGGATGCTTGGAATCCTTATTACCAGCATAAAACCAATATAACTAATAATGTACCAAGAACAAGAAAGTTGTCCTTACCTTTTAGCTAGCTGAAGGACTTTATCAAACTGTGTGTAGGTCTCTGTTACCACAAGGGCTCCCTTCACACCAGCCTGGAGGTAAGGAGAAGGTCATTTCACATCAATTACCAGTTAATATTTCCTCCATCTACAGAAGTTCTATATTTATAATGTATTATAGGAGGCACAGTAGTCTAGTGGTAGGTCGTCGGGCTCGTGACCGAAGGGTTGCGGGCTCGAGTCACGGCACGGCACTGTGTTGTATCTTTGCAAAGGCCCTATAACTAAGGATAATAGTTTGTGAACCGCTTTAAGAGGACCTACGATCTAGCTTGTGATAAAGTGGTACATAAGAACCTCAAATTATTATTATTATCATTACTATTATCATTGTCTTAATAAAATGCACCAGCTTATAGTAAAGAGCCTAATGATGCCACCCAATCAACCACTGTATGTAGACTTGTATTATCTACAGTACAGAAGACATGTTTCATTTAAATATTACAGGTAGTGTACATATTCTATCTTGTCAGGGAAAGATTTATGGTTGTTGAACATCACTAAAACAGTTAATTGATAATATATAATAATAGCAATAATAAACTTTATTTATTAAGGATAAAAAACCTGTTTAGCAAAGCTAATCTTCCACAGGGTCCTCTTTGATAAGAAATATATCTTTAACAAAAATAGTTATCAACTTAATAAATTTTAATAAATATTTGACAAGAAATCACTACTTTCTCTGACTGAAAGTTTGGAGCCTAGATATGTGTATAATGAGCTTTCATTTGTTTTCTGACTAATCTTACCTACTTCATAATTCTTTTAATAATCTTATTTAATTGTCTTACTATAAGATTTTTTTCTCCCAACTACTTATTTGGGAACCTCACTTGAATATAAAGTTTTGATGTAATTTGTTACCTGTTTTGCTTGTTGAATGACTGTATCAATATCCTACAATAGAAAAGATTAAATGAGTTACAGTTTATAATGCCGTCTAAATATTTGGATGTATCAATTTGTTATGGGGAGAATGTGTCTGCTGACTTTTGTTTCCGCAAGATAACGCACTTAAATATTCAATTTTTTAATACAAAACTATATATACATCTTGTACAATAAAAAAAACATGAGGCAAATTAAGTACACACAAGAGTCACACCACTTAGGCATTTGACTAAGTTCACTTCCGGTTTTGAAGGCTGAAAAACGTCAGAAAATATGTATTCTGTTTATGTCATGTTTCTGTTAATATCATGTTTTTCTCTGACAAATGGGAAGTGATGATATTAAGCGAAATCTACTGTACCACTAAAAGATAAATCTGCACATTCTTAATTTGCATACTGCAATCTAATTGTACACAAGGTTAATCAGATATGACAGATTCTGATAAAACTTGGTCAATATTTATGTTATACTCTGTACAAACATTAATTAAGTTAGAAATTTAGCAAAATCTGCACATAATCTCAAACAGACTATATATGCTGTGCTTGGTTTACTGTTTTTTTTGCAAAAAACAACATTATTATATTGATAAAATACGACTGGATTTTAGTGAAGCTTGGTCAATATTCATACACAATGGTTAAGGAGCTACATTTTACTTGGTAGAATGTATACTATGGTGGAAAATAATCAACTCAGCATGCAAGCAGTCTTCATTAATTTTTTCCAACATTTTCTCACCCTCGTTATATATTCCACCATAAAACACACACATATGTTGACTATTTTTTAAACTTAAATTGTAGTGTCTTAAATGGTAACATTCCAATAATTTTACACATTCAATATATATGAATATGCAACAGAATGATTCTAACGATGTGCACACGTCTAAAAATATCCTCAAACAGGGTAACGCAGAGGATAAAGAACAGGTGCTGGAATATAGAATATACACATCATATTAGAGTGTCCAGCATCTGTGGGATATAGATACAGTGTGATAAAATGACCGCTCCGAAACTCATATCGCTCCCAAACACATATCGCTCCGAAACCGGGACGATATCATCATGGACCCGGGAGTATCGTGTACATGTTGGTCTTTGGTATGGTACCACGAAAACAGAATGAGTCATGCCCTCAGATTCTTAGCATGTTAACTGTTTTAAAAGACATGCTGGATTTTATATCTATAACCTCACCACCTCCACTGGACGTCAGAAAACAAAGTTCTGGCACGTGTAGTTTGTCGTTTTACAGTGGACAGAGACGCATTACACATTGTGCCATAACAATATTGAGAACGTCACCTCGTCAAAAGACTGATCCACGAGATGACAATGACAGTCTACCATTGATATCCCGGGGGACGGGCTACCGACCTCCTCGTCTACTACAACACCTGCCATGTCCGAAGTGATATGTCAACAATGCAAGGGACGTAACTCCTGTGCGGTTGTTAAGTTATCATCACTCCACATATTGAGACATACATATATATAGGCATAACCCATAAGCCGGTAATTTGACAGACTCCATATTTTTTAACAACAAATAAAGGGATATTATTATGTCATAAGTCTCAAGTTTCACGTTACTTCATTTCCCCGGGGATTGGAGTCTAAAAGATACAACTTGAGATACAAGAATTTTTATTTTGAATCGTGCAACTTTAGCTCAGAAGAGCTATTCTTACGGACTATATATATAACAATCAAAGTTAATAGAAACAATAAAACATCACAAAGGTAGCATGCATCACAGATAGTTGAATAAAAAGTAAAATAGCACGGAAAGATTAAAGGTCATGCAGCATATACATTAATTTAAGAGACGTTTCAGTCTAATACATATATGCGGGCCAATATGGCAAAAACTAAAAATTGACAGAATACATGCTAATATGGCATAATCTAAAACAACAATACAAACATTTATGAAACAATAATTAGGAATTTACAGCATAAAAAAGTAACGTATGTATTTACTTTAAAATAAAAATCGTGACTTCGTTTCACATCCAATTATGAGTTACTTGACATCCTTTAAGATAGTATTCACCTGCTTCGCCCTCAGGTGATATTTATATTATTATCCGTGGCTCTGTGATTGATATATCCCTTTCATCCCAGCAAAAAATCATCTTATACATTCCATAGACACAATGTTCAATTTTGCCGCAAAACATTCTTTTTGACATATTAACCTATCATGCATAGTTAGAATTCTAGGAAATGGATAATTATATTGATATTACCCAGAAAAGCGCCAGATATTTTTTCTAGCTTTGTGCTGAGTTTCATCAATTTGTTAGTACATAAACTTAAGTCAGGAAAATTAATTTTCAAAAGGTAAATTAACATAGAATCTAACATTCCTGTAGATATTATACTTTAGTTGTAACTCAGAGATGGATATCGACATTTATTTTTGGCATTCCCCCCGCCCCCATAATAATGAATGCGTTTAAGCGAGGCATGTTTAATTATGCGATGATGCATAGAAGCACGTTCAATAGTCTATGTTTCAACAATCACGAAGCGTAAATTATTATAGGAAAGCATTTTTTTAACAGTAAGTAAAATTCAATATTAAGTTCATAACAGTAACCTTTTGCCAGGCAGGTATCATACATATTATAACGGTGTAACATTTTACTTAAAACAGGATTTTATACAAATCACATACTGTGCTTCAATTACATAATGCACATTTCCCCATTACATATGCACAGAATGCATTCAAATGTGCCATTCTACATTACCAAACATGCGACTAACACGTTTCTAGTCTGTGCTGCATTTATAATATATTTCTCCAAGTATTTTGACATCGATTTTGCGGACAACTCGTACACATTTTACACCTTTGTGTGCATCCGCTTCACTGGTCATTTGTCTGATGAAGGTGACAGTGTACATATAGAAAATTGTATTGGTTGTGTAAAAAGAACTTTTCATAATAAAATTTTGTTTTACTTGGTTCGTCATCACATGTTGTATCTTGCTTAAACCCCTGTCATACTAGGGCCGCGTTTCCACGGCGTCCAAGAAAAATCCAGAACGCCGAGCTGCGCGCAGTGGAATCGCAAGCATCGCCGCGGCAACGCAGTGGCATCGCCAGTGAACGCGGTGGGATCGCATAGAACGCCGGGCGACGGCGCGCACTTTGAGCATACCCAAAACAAACGCCATCGCTCGGCGTTCTGATAAGAGCGCAGTGGGATCGCCGTAGGGTTGCCTTAGCAGCACATTTAGGTCTCCTACAACACCACAGGATCGGTAAATTTAACAACGCCATGCAATCGCAGTAGCAACGCGACTAGGTATGAAAGGGCCTTTACTGATTGACAAGAATCCCGATTAATATAAATAACGATTCCATTCACGCAATGAAGTGAAATATCACATCATTCATACACTAAGAAGGCCTGACACCCGAATTTAACAGTTGTTTTCAGGTCTGTGCGGGATGGTATTTCCTTCCTGAGGATGTTTTCACTGATATTAACACCTCGGTGACAGTATCCATTCATAAAACATCCGACAGTCATGTATCAAAAATGTTAAAACATGTGCATAATCCCTCGACTACGTTTGGTAATAAATATACTTCTCAATTTTATCACTGCTTGTAAAGGTTTATCGGTATTTAAGCATTGTGCGGAAGCCCCCCGCCGGAAATATCACTATACATGTTATTTTCCAGAGGAGAAATTGTACAAAGTAATTACAAAAAATGTTTTGTTACACTCTGCAATAAAATCATGTATCAGAATGTAAACGCATTCAGTTTGCCTCAAGCAGTGTTTTTATTTTATTTTGTGGATTCACCTGCGGACCAGCGTACAAGACAGATACTAACTAGTACGCGACTGACATCGATACAAACTTTTTTTCCCCCCCTCCATTGTTATATTCCAAAGTTTCTGTTTACTTGCTCTTTACATTAGCGGAATCTGAATGACGATGGGCCAACATGTGAATGGAGGGTTGACGAGGTAGATAAACCACAGCTGGACGTTCAACATGCAGGGTGACATTTACTGTTAAAATAATTGCATGTTACAGAAACAAATAAAGCCATGGTAGTGTTTATGTCTCTGCATGTTAGAACGTGGGAAAATAGTTTTTCTTGCTTACTACCTTGAAAAAAATATATGTTTAAAATTGACACGAAAAACAGCAGATTAGATTCGAGAGTTAAATTAGATAAACTGTCTGAAAGTTATCGCGGCTGAGAAAATTGTAAACACATTCAGGAAGCATTAATTAATTTGTATACCTTATACCGAAGGTATTACATAAACCTGGAAAATGTTTCCTATTGACGTAGATAGACACATTTAATTTGTGTACCACGCTGTACACAGACGTATGGGCTTTTTAATTCATAAAGTTTAAATGGCCAGTATAGTGCTTGGCTAGCCCACACCGTGAAATGATTGATTTCATTTATTTACGCGTCGCCATGCTACCCCTGTGACGTAGTACGGGCACCCCGAGTTGAACTCGATGAAATGTGACATACCATTTCCGACGGATTACATGTGTTTACCTGCAGTGTTGGACAGAGCACAGGACTTCACTGCCTTACGTTACAGGTACGTACTGGTCATCTATTACATCTCCATAACATCATATATAGTTTATTTACTATCAGTTAGCTCATGTATGGCTACTTTTTGCTACATTGTAAGTTTTGGGTCAGTACTAGTATTATAATACTATACAATAGTCATTGATTGGGCCGAATAATAGACTCAGGTGTGTGGTATATAGCTTACCTAACCGTATGTATATACATATAGCCAGCTTACACACACGTACAATACTAATATATGTAGTTACTATATCGACTTTCACAGAACAACTGATGAGTCCGATGTGATTATTAAAGGTTACGAGACATGACATTGATCTGATTAGTGAGATACCTTGGAACCCAATATAGGAGATGGACTATATAAGTCGAATGTATGTGTATCCCCACCCAGCTGACACAGTACTGTAATGTTTTCTTCCACTATGAGATTATATCATTAGTAGCGTATACATCGTATATATACTGATAATATCTCCACAGTTCATCTGTCACGCACAACCTTTGTTGATTTATTGATTTTTTTAAAAGCAGCATGTCGGACAACATCCACACTGCGGCACTAAAGTATATTGTTATTATGATTGTATTTGTTTGATCGTAAGTGCTGGATTTCAGGACCCCCGCCCCACTCCACCTCGGGATACCTGATAATTAGTGGTGTGTTTTCCAAGTTTGGCCACCCATTCAATCCTCCCAACTACTAGAATTATCTAATCCGCCAAAGTAAGTTGTGTGTAATAGTGAATGTACATTTATTTATTTATTCCTACTGCCCTTTGTTACCTACCTAGGAAGTGGTGAGTGTGGCCGGTCGTATTTTAACAGTTAATAGAACCATGATCGATTGAACTTCATTATCACGAAGTCGACAGATCACAGACAAATACGACTGGAGTGCCGTGTGTTTGTTTATGTTGATTACGCCTGATAAAACACCCAAGAATATCCCGACCTAATCCTTGTGAAATCTCAGTGGGCGGGGGATGGCGAATCCCCAAGGCTTACTGGCCTCTGACTTACTTAATTTAAACACTGTTTAAATTATTATTATAAAGCTTAAAGGGTTGGGCGACAATATATTAAATACCAGTTCACAAATACTTCTACACTCATGAATGTTTGAATATATTACATATATGTGAAGATACAGTTCTTGAAAATGAATAGGAGGGATGTAAAGAGGAATGAGGGAGGATAGTAATTAAAAGGACAAACAATAAAGAAAAGCATTTGAAAATGATAGACGTTTGGATGCACAACTAAGAAATTCCGGTATATCTGTAGGTGGCAAATCCTCGTCCTTATTGACTTCCGTCTTGTTTAATTCAAATAATTTTTAAATTATAATAATGAAGTGAAAAACGTATTTGATCCTTTCCCAAATGCCTACAGAATAATGATCCATGCAATGATAAAGTTTAGGTCCTGAAATATATTGTTTGAAATAAAGGCTTTATAAGTAACGATGGTTTAAGGATGGAAAACAAGTTATTATTGGACTGACAACGAAAGATGAGCAGTTAAAATTACTGCGTGAAGAGAATTTATTTATAAATTAGTTTTATTATTATAAATTATTTATTACTTAAAACGCAAATTGAAATTTAATTATCTAATACATGACATAAGACTTGAATATGACTCTAGTATGTTTATAGACGAGCCTGTATGTGTGAAATAGGATATCGTGTCTATATCCACATATATCATAAACCCTTACAAAACACGATATGACTATTCAAATACATTGCATGCACGTTTATCATGCTATGTAAGTCTGCTGACATAAGTACATTAAGAACTTGAATTAGGTCACACGTGCGAAAAGTGTTAATAGGAATGATGATTGATATTAATCTATTCAGTGTTTAAGTACATGAAATTGCACGTGATATGCTCGTAAAATCAATACCATTATTGAAGCCTGAAAATGGATATGAAGAAAGAAATCTGGATACTCCGACACGCAATGTTTATGAAAAGAAACATTGCTCATACTTAATTGATACTAAAAATGATAGTTATATTACAAACTATGAGTCGTGTTTTAAATTTAAAATCCACACACAATGCATTGTCAAAAAAAATGCGAAAGGTGTAATGTTTTCATGACAGACCTCACGTAAAGTATCAAATAAAAATCGTGCATAAAAAACGCAATTTTATGATACATGATTAAGTAATCTAATTAAAATCGCATGCATCCAGCTGGCTCAGCAATGCACGTGCTTGAACACGTAACCATGGAATGAGATGTAAGACAATACAAAATAAATAAAACTACATGTTATTTATTTATTGTATTAATTTGGTACCTTATTAATTTTAACATTTAATAATGAACACTTTCACGCTATCCCCATAGTATATGTCCATATCAAGGGTTCTGGCGGAGAACACAAGACCGCGCCTTTAGCTTTTGTTAAAGAGTAATTGATTCTAGTTATTGTGCCTGCTTTGTCAAACGTGGAAAACTGCAGTCAAGCATGACGACTGGAAAACACACGGACAAGGTATAACATGGTATATGACTTATTTCGCCTTTTAAAAAATGTGTATCCAATTTCTATAATTGAACGCACATAGTTTGGTCTAAAATATCCCCTATTTGATCTATTGAATTAGGAACAACAAAACCTACCTAAATACATACGTTTGTAATTTGTCTATAATTGTGTTGTTATGTTAGACTGATTGAGGTGTATGTCGTTCAATGTTTATTCTAATTATCATTGATTTAGACAGAATGAAATCACATGTTGTTGTCAGCAATATAGGAATGATCTGGTATCCACATATTGTAATTAATCGTTACCATCTCAAATGTCGGCAAAACTGGGAGTAAACCAGTTTCTTTAAAGAAGAATGGCCAGGAGTCCAAAGTATCAAACAAGTACTATCGATCTCGGCTCGGGACACAAAAGGCTGGTGATTATAGCCACTGGAGGTGACTGAGTTTAATCCAATAGTCGCCTGATGTCATGGGTTTACTCCTATAGTCACTATCTCTACTGAGTTTAGTTTTTATAATCACAAAAAATGTGTTCAGTCCCAAATACCCTAGTTGACAATGAGTTTAGTTCTATATAGTCACTTGTAATTACGAAGTTAGTCCTGGAGGTAATCCTATAAAAACTGAAGTTTACTGGGTTTTGTCTTAGAAATTCCCTGGTTTAGTCTTATAGACATCAAAGGTTACTGGGTTTTGTCTTATATCACATAAGATATTACTGGGTTTAGTCTTATAGACATTATAGATTACTGGGTTCAGTCTTATAGACATTATAGACTACTTGGTTCAGTCTTATGGACATTATAGGTTACGGGGTATAGTTTTTAAGACATTATAGGTTACGGGGTATAGTTTTTAAGACATTATATGTTGCGGGGCATAGTCTGTAAAACATTATAGGTTACGGGGTATAGTCTTTAAGACATAGATTACGGGGCATAGTCTTAAAGACATTATAGGTTACGGGGTATAGTCTTTAAGACATTATAGGTTACGGGGCATAGTCTTATAGACATTATAGGTTACGGGGTATAGTCTTTAAGACATTATAGATTACTGGGTTCAGTCTTATAGACATTATAGATTAATGGGTTCAGTCTTATATACATTATAGATTACTGGGTTCAGTGTTATAGACATTATAGATTACTGGGTTCAGTCTTATAGACATTATAGGTAACGGGGTATAGTCTTTAATACATTATAGGTTACGGGTTATAGTCTTAAAGACATTATAGGTTACGGGATATAGTCTTAAAGACATTAAAGGTTACGGGGTATAGTCTTTAAGACATTATAGGTTACGGGGTATAGTCTTAAAGACATTATAGATTACGGGGTATTGTCTTTAAGACACTATAGGTTACGGGGTATAGTCTTTAAGACATTATAGGTTACGGGGTATAGTCTTAAAGACATTATAGGTTACGGGGTATAGTCTTTAAGACATGATAGGTTCCGATACACTAGAAGCTACTAGATGTATATATACACACACACTATAATTTACTGGGTTTAGTCCTATATACATGTATAAAGATATACTGAAGGTTACTGGACTGTAAATGATTACTGGGTTTATTTAGATTTACAGAAACGATATTAGGGTTATTTTGTTTACTGACACAGTTACTGAATGATCTAGTTTTAAAGACAGGGTTACTGGGTTATTTTAGTTTACTGAAACAGTGGCTGGATGATCTAGTGTTATAGGAAGTTTACTGGGTTATTTTAGTTTACTGACACAGTGGCTGGATGATCTAGATTTATAGGGAGGGTTACTGGGTTATTTTGTTTACTGACACAGTTCGAAATGATCTCGTGTTATAGACAGGGTTACTGGGTTACTTTAGTTTACTGACACAGTGACTGGATGATCTAGTGTTATAGGAAGTTTACTGGGTTATTTTAGTTTACTGAAACAGTGGCTGGATGATCTAGTGTTATAGGAAGGGTTACTGGGTTACTTTGGTTTACTGAAACGGTGACTGGATGATCTAGTTTTAAAGACAGGGTTACTGGGTTACTTTCGTTTACTGACACAGTGACTGGATGATCTAGTGTTATAGGAAGATTACTGGGTTATTTTAGTTTACTGAAACAGTGGCTGGATGATCTAGTGTTATAGGAAGGGTTACTGGGTTACTTTGGTTTACTGAAACGGTGACTGGATGATCTAGTTTTAAAGACAGGGTTACATGGTTAGTTTGTTTAACTGACACTGTGTCTGAATGATCTATTTTTTAGACAGGGTTACTGGGTTCTTTTGTTTTAATGACACGATGGATGGATGATTTAGTTTTAAAGGCAGGATTACAGGGTTAATTCGGTTACTGACTCGGTGACTTAATGATCTAGTTTTATAGACAGGGTTACTGGGTTATTTTGTTTTCTGACACTGTAACTGAATGATCATTTTTTTTTGGCAGGGTAACGGGATTGTTTTATTTTATTGACACGGTGACTGGATTATCTAGTTTTATAGATAGGGTAGCTGGACTATTTAGTTTTTCAGACATGGTCAATAGGTTATTTGCTTTTTAGTCTGTGATTAAGTTTATTTACATTTGTATATACAGCAAAGCGTGGTTGTTGGGTAAAGTGACTGTCCAATTTTATTCACTCAATATGCATTTGTCCGTTCAAAAAAGATATTCGTTTAATGTTTATGTTTGAAAGGAAGGATTTGTATCAATACTATTATACCAACTGTGTTTGGCACTGTTTGATAACTCTATTGATTTGAAATAAAGTGTTCCATGTCGGGTAAAGGTTTGTTTAAAACATTCTAACGCAATTTTTAACATGCCTTTGAGCCCAAAGTACAGCCGTTGCTAATACAGAATAGTTGTTTGGAATGATTTGAAACAAAGTAATTTACAAAAGAAAATGGTGTTTAAATAACAGCGGTTCAATGTCAGACGTTATTTGTTATAATGCAACTTGCTTGTAGTTTGATACAGCTGCGGTGTTATCTGTTATAAAGCGGCTTGCTTGCGATATAATAGTGTCGTGTAGATACTGCTATACAAATGTGAACGCTTGTAATGAAAATGTGTCACGATGCCATCTTTATAAATTAACTTGTTTGCAGTTAAAAGAGTCTCAATGTCATCTGTTATAAATCAGCTTGCTTGCAATGTGTTAAAGATGCAGTTTTGCGATACACATTACATTACTTACATATTCTTTACTAAGATGAGTTTGCACTGGGATATTCTTATTAAGAAAACCTCTTGATAACGTTTACATCTCACTGTGTCATGATTTTGTGATGAGATACCTTCTGTTAATATATTTCGTAGCCAGGTGTTCCAACCGGAAACGCTTCAATCTACGCTCTAGACATTTAACGGTCATCACAATGACAAAATATGCAACTATGTCAGTGTATGGCAAGGTTAAAGGCATGCTCAGTGTGTTTTTGATTATCTATGATGACACAACATTTCTTGGAACTATGAGGGATACCATTTATATAATAAATTGCGCTTACGGAACTCCTGGTTTAGTGTATCTTTTTTTTTTTGTGGTGGTTCAAAATTTCGTTCCTTTTGTTTTAGTGTCTCACTGGTTCATGTTGTTGTTTTCATCATATCGTGAATTGCGCGGTTTCCTTTTGTGCGTTGACGATGTATTTCTTCTCCATTTTGATTGTTATGTAATTATATGAACTGGTTTGTTATTCTTTCAGACGTTGTCGGTTGTAGCTGTTGTTTCCCATCACAATGTCACGTTTTCTGTTGGCATACGCTACGTAGAAAACCACCATCACCAGATACTACCATCACACTATCACCAGAACCTCGTCATGGGTTGTGGGCCGTCCCACCTTGTCCATGGCGAAGATGGAGGATCCGCCAATACTCCTCGCGAAAACCCCAAACCACAACAGACCAAAGTCTTATCTAATGGCCACCCTGCAGCAGTGAAGGAAAACAACGCAAAGAACAAGGTCATGAACTCAACAGACACAAATGAAAATCGGCAAGATGTAATCACCAATAATCTTCCACGTAAGTCTTGACAAAGAAGTGTTGTCATTTGAGTTACTTTCACCCTACTCTAAAAAATATTATATCAGAATAAGTTGTTTATTGAGATTCAGCGCACCCTAGTTGATGAATAGATGGAATTCACTAGTCCGGCCATAAGAGTAATCGAACTTCAAAAAAAAATAAAAAAATGACCAGACACCATCAGATAGAGAGTCTCGGCATCTTCAATCCAGTTTACATGTTTCGACACAACAGTGGGCCGAACTATGTAAACTTCATTAAAGATGTTGTCTGGCCATCTCTTCTATTGAATCAGAAGTCTCAGTAAAAATTTAGATTCTATTTGAACAGTTCTTGATGACATTCACCATATAATTCAACATGACTGTTGGCGATTTTGACAATTTTGCATGAAAGTAAAAAAAAAAAGTTTTCAATCAGCAAAGAGAATCAAGAAAATCATTCCTTAAAATGTTGGTCTTGTTTCAACATCAGTGTACATATTATGTCATAGCATGCTTATATTCGATATATTAGGTCACAGTCATATTAAATAATTACACCATTATACTCAAATGACAATTCAAAAGTATCATAGTATCAGTTATAATTGTAGATGATTATCACGTGCAACTAAGCAATGTATCACTGAAAGGCGACCTCAAGCTGAATTTAAAATTCAGCTCTATTTCAGGTTTAGGCAGAATCATGTTTGTGAAAGGAGCCGAATTTTTAAAGAAACAAACCATTTGGATGTTATATAAAACATCACTTTAACAAGATATGTACCTATATATGTCAGTGTTAGGCAAGAAAAACAATGATAAGATAAAAGATTATAAAACCAGAAAAAAACGTAAAAACCATAACAGAATGCCTAATTGTCAACGAAGTCATTCTTAGTACTCTTAATCCGTTTTTGATAGCACCAGGGCAAAATATGATCAAAGGAAATGTTTATTTGGAATCCATTAAAAGATTTACAAGGATAATAAGACCAAATGTTGGGCGAGCGTCTTCTGCTTTATCGAAGACACCTACCCCGTAAGTCTATATGAAATCCAAGTAATGTCATGTCCTCAAAGAGCACTACAACTGTCCAACGAGAGGAAGAGAACCAGCAATGAATTAGATTAAATAAGACACGCAAAACAGGAAATGAACCATTATCTATATCATACAGGAACCGAGGGACTACCAAACACAGGAGACCAACCTTCTATACTCTACAGAAATTCAGTTACAGCAAGACACATAAAGAACGATTGAAGCATACAAACACAAGTTTAACAATTATTCCCAGGGATTCAATTTCTTTAAACTGACATGTTTCTGTTGTAATGATAACTCGAAGTTAATCACATTTCCATTCAAGAAATAGTGTTAAAAATCAAACCAGGTTTTATTTGTACATTTATAATTTGTAATATTACGTCTACCTTTCAGACTTTCGAAAATACTTGTGAAAGTTTTGCTTGCACACACACATTACTTGTTGTTGTGTGTACTGACGTCTCGGGTGTGGCCAATCTCGAACAGTTGCTGGGTTTGTCTTATGCAAAGTTAGGGTCACTTTGTCATTTAATGTACAAACTCCAGAATCTTGCTTGAAAGAGAAATACCACATGCCTACGACACAGAACATGTTACTTACAAACTTTCTATTAATCACCTGGACACTGCAATTTTGTATGTGTGTGGCAGTGATCCAATACGGAGTCCTTTACCTGGGAATCCATAGCATGTTTGTTACACGCCATGACTCTTTGCCAGATTATGTACACCACATGGCACTTTACATTATCGAAACCTAATACTCTTAAACACTGTAATAAAACACCTAATTAAGTGCAGTGGACATGCATGTTTGGAATAATTATATATCTCATAAGCAATGCCGGAAACTAAGTTGATGATGTTATAAAGGTGTGAGACAATAGAAAATACATATCTTAACAATATCTTTCAAGTTATTTAACAAATTGTTACATCCTTATCTTTGTCTCTTATCGTGATAGTCAGGTGTTAGGTAAATGCAATAAGGGGGTTTTAGTTGACTCTTGACAATTTTCAAAGTATTTCCTTTTCACAAACATCTAGTACTATTTATTATTGGTCATCGGGTCAACTTCGAGTTATGTTAATATTACTTATATGTTTAGTGTTGATACATTTGATGTCATGTGTTTACGCATACAGTTAATTAGCTTGCCATCGTTTCATCAGTGGTAAATAAGCAACTATAGGATTGTTTGTTTTATTACTAATAAGAACGGCTTCAAAAGAGATATTAACACGATATACCAAACACTATTAATTACCATTTGTTATTTCCCTTGCAATTTCTTATAACTTTACTTATATAAATATGAGAAACACTGGTATTGACAAATTTCTAAGTTTAAAATTTTAAAATTATCTCAAGTGTTTTTTAAAAATATAACAACACTATACTAATCTATGTCTTATGCAGAAATCGCCGAATGAATTGGACGGTATACACTTGATTGATCTTTTAAGAATGACTTACTTCATTCCCTCGGCTTTCATTAATATGTTTCTCTTTTTTTTTTATCTTGTTTCTCCTCAGTTATTGGTGTCGTCTTTTACGTCAACTTTTAATTTAGATTTGTCCTGGTGCATTGACGAAATTTCCCCTTTTGCTTCCTTGGATTTTGATCCTCAACATCATATCTTTCTTTACCCTGGAATTAATGAAACCAGAATTGACATAAACGATTTTTTTGATTTAGTGAAGTATTCCTTCTGTGTAGGACATTCACAGGATATCGACTAAATTCATATTTAATGCTAATGCTCATGTTTTGTTTATCTCCAATAATATATTATTCAGATTAAAGGTAACAAAAGCATACTATTGAAAACTTTCAAATATATACATACTATTTTTCATTATAATCTTGTTCACGGAGGCGGTGATAATTCACTGTTATATGGAAGTTGGGTATCAAATTAATACTAACCTCAAGCATGGTGTAAAAGTAATCGTTCTTTCATGGCGTTAGCATTTTCCTAGTATATTTTTAAAATCATTACTAATCGATTCAGTATACTCGGTATATATTCAGGATGTTTGTGTTATTTCAGCCGCCTTTCCCAAATCTATTAGTTTCGCTGTGGGAATGGACGGCCAGGAGAAGGACAGCCTGATTGCCAAACACCCTCCAATAAAGCTGAAGGTAAGTACTTATACAGACGGTTATTGGGATGCGGTCTGTATTCATATTCTGTATGAATGCTGTCTCTTTCTTAATAACTCGTGCACATATGTTGTAATTGAATTGAAATTGACGAAATGTTTCAAATCCCATTTACATGTTGGTATATATTTACTTTTTCTTCCAGCGATTGGAACCCCTGAACATGCCGTTACTTACTCCAGAACTTCTCAAAGAAAAACAAAAGTTAGCAGATGAAAAACGTGAAAGGGTATGGAACAAATATCTATTTTAATATAACACGTGTGGCCTACTAGTAATGAACAAAATGAGTGAACATCAAATTAAATGAAGTGTTAAACAAATAGGTGATGCCTAGAGCCTCCATTCAGCATTTATTGATATTTCCACTTTTTTGTAATTTATTCGGTGTCCTAGGAAACAGTATTTTGCATTAATCCCCGAAAACCCCGCACATCTTAAGTTAACGATTTTGATATCAAAATATATCGTCATGTACTCTCAATATAAAACTACAGGGTGTCATATGAAATAGATGGATACTGTTTTCGCTACATGTATATGCAGTGCATCAGGGCTCGATACATAGTGTCAATAGGATTAATATTCGATGAATACCACTAAATCCTCGACTCAGACAATAGCTATTGATAAAATACTGGGGTTTTGTATTGGATGGACATCTGTGTGTGGATTACTAATCAGTGAGTGGGCAATTCTCACCTATTGTGGAGACAGTGCTGATTGTAGCACACATTAAACTAGATCCCATGCAGACTGTGTGTATATACCTGTGCATTATTGATCACGGTAATAGTGGGGAATACATCTACTGGCTGGCTTCCTGTGTATCCAGTCGCATTTGCTTGACAGCAAATTAGAGCACACTTTTAAACAGTGCTATTTTAAAACCTGAAAACAAAATTGACATGTTCAGGTATTCAAAATAATCATCACGTGACATAAAACATAAAATTAGTCATATGCTTGGAGAACGCTTTAAAAAATATGAGTATTTTAAACATTTGAATCACCGTTTCAACAAGCTAATGAAGAATATTTAAACCTGGATGCTAATGGGTACTGATAATAAGGGATAACTCGACTGTACCGACCATTATTGAATCCTCTGTATTGTTGGAGATTTAATTTTACATAGCTAGTAATGACCAAATATTGACCGTTCTAGTCTGTACATTAACAATTTAAATGCTTTTATTGTACGGTGCTTTTATGGGATACCTTGCCTTCAGACCAAAGGTATATTCTGTTAATAATTAATCCGGTCGTAAAATAAGGCGTAAATCCGACATGTAAACCTCACAACTTGACGATACTATTCTAACAGTGAATACTATATATTGGCGATAGTAACAGTATTTAAGTTTACGTTTTTTTATTCAATATTATCAATATTTTTCATAAACGTTCTATCTTGTATAACATTTTTCCAAGTATGGAATTTATCCCTTTGAAAAAAAGTGTTGAAGTATTTTTGAACTGTATTGAGTGTTAAGCATTTTTACAAAGATTTATGTAAAGTAAACATGTCTGTACATGTTAATCTAAGAATTTTACAGGGGAAGTTACTCTAGGTTAGACAATTGTCCTTATGCTTGTTTCATCTTCAATAGAGAAGGGAGAATACTCCAAGAAAAGACAACACCTTTCGCAAAAATAAATGATTAAGTAGTACCCTTTACTTTGATTCTCAACCTTTAGATAAAATTACAAAGGTAGTAAAAAAGAATCCGTTGCATCACAATCGAACTTTCAAAACTATCTGATTGTCACAGTGTATGTTCAAATGATTTTGCAGGAACTGCAACGGAAAAAGAGTGCTTCAAGAAAGTCTTCGAAGAGGCGACGGGAGCTGATGGCGGCCAAAGATTTTGAATTACAGCAAGTACAGGGACAGGATAATTCGGTAGGAATTTGACAACAACTCTTTGATATAATGTATTGTATTCCGATATCTGTTATTGCTGAGCATGCGTTGTGTTGTTTGTTGTATCAAAATATAGACAATTCACTTTTTTAATGCTAAATGCAGATATTATTGTAAATAAAATAGAATAACTATTTTTTTGGCTCTAGGAATATCTATATATTTTGTATTGGGAGTGATAACTGATGATGATAATAATGATGATTGTTAAAAAGGAAATAACATTACAATTCATACGGCATTATTAGAAAATGCATTATAACCAAATCAAATTTTTATGATATATTTCAAAATTTATGTTTGATTTTCTGGAAAATGACTGACTATGCGTTAAATATATAAATTTAATTTGACAGAAAATGCAGTCGGCTGAGGCTCTACGAATGGCTAAGCTAAATGAAATAAAGGAGAAACAGAAAATACGTGAAGAACGTGCTAAAAGGGCCAGAGAAAAGGTAGGTGTTGTAGGGTTCACAGTTCAAATGTACTAATTCCTACATATCCGTAACTAGTTGGCAGTATGGGCGCCGGATTCTGTAGGCTAATATATTGTCATACCTCATGAATGACAAGTGAAGACAAAATTTTAGCCAAAGAACTTAGCCTTTGTCATGGCTTATCTGTTTTAGTCACTCCAGTCGGTGAACTCTTGAATCGCCAGGGGGAGATCTATGTAATAATATTTTATCCGGAATCGACATTCAAGCTACCACAAACGTCTACGGGAAATAATTTGATTATGTGATAATTCATTTTCGACTTATGTGCAGGTACATCATTCATTGATGTATTTGATGCATTAGTGATTGTAATTTTAAATAGCTGTAATTATTGGCTAACTATGGTCTCGTGCGTGTAAATCACAATGTATGAACACGTCTAACAATGTTGATACCAAGTCCTTCTAGCCATGTTAACGTCATAAATGTAATCAATTGGAACAAATTACACTTATAACAAATGCTTTTTCTTAATTATGCTGATACATTTCACAAAATCGAATATTTCTCATCATTAATACGTTTTGTGATAGCTTAAATAAGTGTGATGCAATTGAAAATGCCAGTACATGTATATAAACTTATTTATCTCGTAAATAAATATATTGTAAAACGCTCTTGTGTGCCTTAAAGTTAAATGTTGTATTTCATTTATCAATATGTTTTATTCATATGCATTTGCTGTCGTTAGGCTCAAAGGATGAAGCAAGCTGAGCAAGCAGACCTTGGTATTTTGGAGGTAGAAAAGGATGATCATTATAACGCTGATGATGGTAAGTTACGATGTAACACGTGGTATTTACAGCAAGTTGTGGTACTATTGTGTCAATAATTTACTTCATTATCTGATTGGATTGTATTTTATCGGAAAGTTCAAGTCAATACTTTGGTTTGCTAACATATTTGATTAAAATATTATCACAATGAAACGTTTACCTGAAAATCAATCAAAAGTAAAACATACCATGCACATAACAAATGAGAATGCCATGGATTTTATTCAGAAGCCTTCTAACATGGCTTAATATGTAAACGAATTGGATACACACACCAATATTAAAAATGTTTAACAAATTAAAGTATTGAACATGTTTAAAAATCCTGTTTAGATTTACGTTATTTTGAAAATTCATTTTCTCCTCAACGAATTTTCGTTGAATTAAGCGGATAGGTATACTGAATAATTTAGATTAATTTAGTGGAATATCCCTAAGGTACCACATAGCGGCAATAACAACTCTGTGCCTATAATATCACGGAATGAATAATTGATGTGCTATCTGCTTCTATTTAATGATTAAATCTGCACTGGCTGTATCTCAACAGTCGATTCTTGGTTAGACGGCGACAACAATACCGGGGGAAATCAGTCTGAAATGGGCGACAGGGTTTACTCCGGCCGATGTAGCCCGCAGAAGCAGGTGCAGGACACGACGAATAACCGCTACCCCAGTGCCAGTACCGTCGACAGTTTCGACAATGCTTACAACAGAAAAACTCCTAGTGCCTCAGCAACTCGCCAGAAACAACTACCAGAAGAAACGGACGACTTTTTCGATTCTTGACACAAAACGCGTGTTACACAATAGGGTATATTACAATTTGCTATAAAGTGTCATATTGCTCAATTTGGAGAATTTGCTTCTTCGCTCTGCCCACATAGAAAATTTTACTGTCTTTAATTAAGGCAGGATCGTTTTAATAAGCTGTTTTCTGAATGTAAAAAAGTTTTTATTACGTTTTTTGATATTTTTCCAAAATTTGTTTTACCAAAACGTTACACACCAGGATTTGCATAAAACATATTGCCAATACAACAATGTACTGTGAAATCACTAACTTTCGTGGGTGTTTTTTAAATTTCATTGAATTCTTGGGTATTCTCGAAACGAATGCAATTATTGATTTGTAATATATTTGAGTTCATATCTTCAGATAGTTGTCTTGCACAACTATACAACAATTTCTGTATTTAGAGTTTTATATAAATCGATGCTTTGATTTGCCCATTATCCCTTAATAATATATGTTACTTTTCGTTAAAACATTCGCAAGTGTAACAATAATCTATTTGCGTCAAACTATGTTTCTGTTTTTTAAGAATCAAAGCAAGAATATATATACTGACCTAACTAACATACATATTTATGCCTTTCGGTCTCGGGCATCATACGTTGTTATTCTATAGCAAAAACAGTACCAATTATAAAGTTGGTATGGAAATAATTTTTAAATGACATACAGACTGCTGTCTGTTTGAGGAAGAACCATGTTGTATGTTGGAGCTGTGTGGACACTTAAATAGAAACATTTTTCCTATAAACAAACAGGAAATTGAACGTGGTTGGATATTTGTATTAATACGGACATCTCTGAAACAAAAGGAAATAACTGAAACTGTTGAGCTGGTATCAACTATCGTCAGATATTTGTAATGATAGGGATAGGAAAGGAAATTACCAGTCTACAAATTATGCATGAAAGCCTTCGGAAGTGCCTGTTTTACCAGTGAATCGTTTGTTAAATACACGTTTAACGATATAATGAAAGTGGGTGTGGTTTGTGGGTGTTTATTTATAATGATATTTAAGATACCGGATTGAGAGAGGGTCCCTGTTGGGTAATAATATGATACAGTATTAAACAATGGGACAGGACGCCTGTGCTTTTGTTCTTAGATCTATAATATACTTTTAAACATGAATTGATTATCGGAAGTTGTTCATGAATTATTCGTATTTCATAATATCGTTTCTTAGCTACAAATAACATATTTTCCCATCGTATTACATACATTTGAGATATTTGTATCTGCTAGTTTATCTACGTTGATATCCACTGCCTTGTGTAAATACAGACATTGTTTTTGTAGATGTAAGAAAATATACACTATCACCTAAGCGTTTTTTTATTTAAGCACTGTAGACACTAATAGAATACAAAATGTATTTTATTCTGTTCAGTTGTATATGAATACATAAAATGATTATCAGCCCTTAAAATGTTAGGCTTTAAAACGAAGGACATTCATTCAAGGTAACTACTATTCATGCTGTAATAACTATCTAATTTGGGGAAAACTTACATAATTGGTATAATAGAATATAATAGTAATAATAAGGATTTATGTAGACAGAAGACAATTATTGACATTTATATTATGTTATGAAATCAATCACCATTTTTTTCATGTCTCTATAAACTCTGTATTTCTCAATAGGGATGTCAGCATATTTTTCAAGATTAAAACTAGTATAAATAATGTGTTTTCAGAAGAAAAATATCCAGTGCACTCTAATGTATTTTATGAATGTGTTACATTGTATATTACTTTTATATATTTGTTATTCGCGGTCTATCTTTCAAAGGAATGAAAAAAGTATATCAAATGACTTTGTAGAATGTCTTATAATAAAAATCAAGACAAGAATAATTACTCGGAGATATTCTTTTTCGCTTTAAAAGAAAAATCAAACGTGAAATAACAATGTTGAGAAAATACGAGTTGAAGAACTGCATGTGATATCTCCCACAAACGCAAGTATTGTCGAACCTCTATATTTCGTTATATGGAAATCTCTTATCTCGACTACCTGTTTATTCTATTTTATGTTTCTTTAATCGGATAACTCGATTTATCGTTTATCTCATTGTAAGTTATATCGAATTTCTTGGAAACTTATTTGATGTAAGATAATGCGGTTATCTCAAAAAAATTAACAGTATGACGAGAATCGGCTGACATAATGATCATAGATATATATTATGCTGCGTTTGAATGTCCTTACTTATATTATGTGACACGATGTATTGATGATTAGGATTCTAGTCAATAACAAAGTGATAATTACACATTTTTAATTTGTTTTCCATGAAGTCATATTTCTATCATTAAGTGCAAACTTTATAGTGTTTACACGCACGTTCCAATTTCAAGACAAGTAATTTTTTTTCATTTCAAGTTTGTGGCAATTCAGTAGATTAGGTTTCATTTATTTTATTTAATTGATATGGTGCTTTGTATTTTTATACTTTTGTCAAGGTTATAACACTAGATCGGCGTGTGATTTTGAGTGTTGAAGTGAAGTAGTGGTAAAGTTAAACTCTGATCCCATGTTAAAGTATTGTTGTGATAAAGCTACACACCACTGATTGCAATTCACATAACAATCAACCATTCTATATGTATCCAACTTATTTTTGGTGTTCTAGGTGTCGAGAGTTGGAATGAAATAACCATCACTTATTCATCACGTACCGGGCAGAACGATGTTTTGTTTTGAATACAAACAGTTATTTAAAAAAAAGGTTTTTGCGAGCTTTCGAAAACACTGTTTGAACTAGTGTTTGTTGCAGTTTAAGATAGAGGAATAGTCAAATTTGATATGAAATATATTTTCTTGCAAATAAGTTATCACTGGAGTAAAATAAGGTAATAAGTGTAAAAGTCAAGTGGTCTCTAAACCTTGGAAACTTGAAAAAAAAGGACATAAATGGAAATGTTATTATGTGAACGATGTCATGATATAGGAACGAACATCCTCCAATTTATATACATTTAATTCTCAATACTAAAGATATAAGGACTGATAACCATTCAGTTACTTGAATATGACGCCTTGTTTTTGTTATGTTAAAATAATGTTTCATATAATAGTTCTATGTACCAAAATGAACCCGCATCTTCCCAAACGTTTTAAGATGAAAATACAACAGTATTAACACTTTTAAAGATGTAAAGAGTAAAAATAATCTTTTTCTTCACATTTTTAATTGATTTTATCATTTGATGATACGTGTGTCAAAAAAGCAGTTTTTACAAACGAATCATATCATATTTCTCATATACGTTACTGACTTGTGAATATCTTTTAAAACGATAAAAAGATAAAGCGAAAAAAAAGCTTCTATCCTCAACAAGAGATTTGGCATCATTTCAGGTTCGTCATTGGTAATTTATTAAGGTTTAGAGCAAAATATTATCTAGATTCTATAGTACTGAAAATGAATTGTACTTCATAGTAATTATTGGTTTCTACTGGTTGTGTCGAGCTAAGAAGTGTTGTGATATTAGTCTGTCCATTGTATTTCAGTATTACGTGTATATTCACATTTAGAAATATATTTGTCATGAATATTTAAATTGTTTTGTCACCTGTTGATGTACTTGCACAGTAGTTCATAAAAAAAGTATTATATACCTCATGCCATTGTATAAACCAGCTCATTCTGGACAATTATGATTGAGATTGGCTGTCATTTTAAAATCTATGTGCCGTGTAAATTAAAAGATGATTGTAGTGTTGGAATTATGCATTGTTCTCGAAACAAAGGAACCGGAAAGATGGTTGTGCTCAATATGAGTTATATTTTGTATGTTAAAAAAATGGATTTTAATTTAGCCATGTATTTATTTCGAAATTATTTTGAACATACAAACTTAAAGCCTCATGCTATATGATTTCCATATACATTGTGTTATAGTTACGGTATGTTATCTATATGTAATTAATTGTTTCGAATTAGCATGTAAATCAAAACCTTCACTGATGGTCTTTCACGTTAATGCATGACTTTTCCTTTTGTTTGTCATTCTGTGATACAAATATTTCCATATTTTTGTAAACCATGCATGTTTGAGTTAAATATTTATATAACACTATAAATAATAAATGTAGTCTATCTTTATTTTTTGTATGTCTCTAAATTTATTAAAAAACATTTACGGTATTCGAAAGTACTGCGATCATGCATTAGATCACAAGCCTACGATGGTTTCCCCAGGTTCACACAATTGATGAAAGGGAGATAACTGTTAAGATATTTGCACCCTTGTTTCACTAACAAAATAAAAATGACTCTCATTATTACATGATAATATGAGTATAGATTACTGTACGACTAGCAACAAATGTATATTTATTTCATTTATTAATACTTAAAAAATCAAAAGTAGGGAGACTGGACGACAGTTATAGTTTGAATCCATTGTAAACGAAATAATATTCCCTACGCAAATTAATAGTTTAACAGAACATGGACCTATCGGTATACCTCCAACAATCACAGATACATTGATGTTTTATTATAATTTCTTTATGTGACTTTCAGAAAACATACGTCTGGATACACAGTATACTTGTAATTTATAATGTAAACCGCAATACACATCGTGATTCATTGCTAACTACATTGTATATATAGCTACCTGTCCTCTTCGGCAATCGTTGACATATAGCGACCTTTCTGTAGTCGTGATTGCAGAAATGGTTCAGCACATCTTGCCAGGCTTAAGGTGCCTTTTCTGTAATACCCATTTATTGAACCAGCACAAGCTTAAGTCGAATTTTTGAATGATTTTAGTTATAATGGGATTTGTTTCTATCTAAAATACAAAATATTATAAAAATATATATTTCCGTTTATATGAAGGATATATTACTTATAAATCATATAAAGGTACGGAAAGACTATTTCACGAATACCATCAGTCAGTCAAACAGAGTTTTGAAAGTAGGTTCTGCAGACATACAAATTTCCACACTTTGGCAACTGTCTGAAAGCTTGTTAAAATACATTTACCCACTTTCCATAAAAGCTGTTTTTGAAAAACAGCGTATGTTCTACTTAAACGCAAGAATATATGATGCAGGGCTTCCTTCACAACACCTAAGATAAATGATTTAGATCACAACATAATCTGACATAATCCAATTATATTCAAATTCGATCAAGTAAATTAAATTATATACGTTATAGTAAAAGGAAATTAAATTTTGCTGTCTTTCTTTCAGCAGAACAAACTGTATTTTATTTCGCATGGAAATACGATAAAATTAATTAAAAAAATTGACTTACCTCTGAAATTTTTCTCCTACTGAAATAGTGAGGCCTTTCTGAAAATTGGGAGGGTACGTATATATCGGCTCCGAAAAACAAAATAATGTGGTTGTTGACCAATCATTTTGAAATATTGAATCAGTGTCATCAACTAAAATATCATCGTGAAAGGAACATTTCTGGTTTTTCATTCTGGATAAGAACGCGTGTTGATAAAGAAAATAATAATATTAAAACAACAACAACAACAACAACAACAACAAAACAACATCGTCGGTGTGTGTTAATAAGTTTATGGTCGTTCAGAAATGGGTTGAACAGTTTCATTGTTTATGAAACAATTCTATATAGGAGGTTCAAGCATAAAAGTTCGGCTTAGAGAGGATTTTGTTTGTCAGAACTTCACACTAAAAATATATTGTTTCATTATTTAATAAATTGTAAATAATGTAAAACTTTAAAAAGAACTACTATGTTTGAGGACTTGATAAGTGACTTGTGTAATACAGAAAAAGGTGATTATTAATAAACTCAACATATTCATGCAAAGGGATGACGATGACACAGGAGAAACAGTGGACAAGTATAATATTCATGTGATTCCGAAACGAAGAATAAGAGTTGATCAAGATTTTATTACGATTTTGGTTCTATATAATTAATAATAATAATTCGAGGTTTTCATATACCGCTATATCACAACCTAGTTCGTAGGTCGTCTCAAAGCGTTTCACAAACTATAAGGCCTTTGCAAGCAGCCAATATCCTTCTCAACTCCCTGGGGAGCATAGAGCCGGCGCTGCCATTTCGGCGCTCACAGCTAACACTCAACAATTCTAGCACTGCCTAACCACGTACCCATTTACAGCTGAGGAGACTGGAACAAGCGGCGTATATTATCTTGCTCAAAGATACAACACAGTGCCGTGACGTGACTCGAACCCGCAACCCTTTGGTCACGAGCCCGGCGTCCTACCACTAGACTTCAGTGCCTCCTTCTTTAGGAAACGGTTACTTAACCGAAGCAGCTCGTATCGCCTAAATATTTAACGGTTCTTGATACATCTACATTTGTCTTGGTGTCTTACCCTTTTCTGATTTATTCCCGTTTTGCGTAATTGTTTTTTGTCTTACAGTACATATCCTCAAGGACTTGGTATGAAAGACACAAAATGTTTTTCTTTCTTAACGTCATAATTTAAGATTTACCTACAATCTGACATGAATGGACACCTTACTTTGATACTATATCACGAACAGCACAACTCTAAGTTCATTATTGAGTTCTTTCCTTTCTACGGTAGTAACATAGCAGCGTCTCCAATTTCTACATGTCACGTTGTTTTCTCCAGATCTTGCTATAATTACTATAATTTCTTTTGTAAAGATGCGCCAAATTCACCAATAATCTCCTTAGTATTTTCTACCTTTAAGCTAAACCAACACAGGCGGAATGTAAAGTGAATGACGTCTAAAATTTGTCTAAAATAAGGATGTTATTATTATGTTTTATGTTTTAACAAAATATTGGTAAATGATAATTTACGATATAGATTATATCACTTCTACTGGAATGAGTTTTGAAAATAATTACATTGTAGTGTTCTTACATCTGTCTACTAGTAGTATATTCTACTAGTACATGAGTAGAAAAACTGCTCGAAAAAACACATACATTCAAATTAGTATATTGTTAAAAACAAAACAACAATCTTAACACACAATAGGAATGTTCACGGTATACTTAGTGTTAAGTTTGATGAGATACTTGTTAAATCCTAAATATCATCTTAATTCAAGCTAGTTTTATTTTTCCATTTAACACGAGGGTGATGAAGTCAATTTTGATTATAAAGTTCGGTAAAGGAGTAAAAAAAAAGGAGCATTGCTAAAACAAATGGAACACCCATTATTTTTTTTATCTTAACAAACCCATCTTAACCTCACACTGTACCAGTAGGTTAGGACGTGATGAAATATAAAGTAGGAGTATCGCGTTGTAAGATAACTCATTCCTACGAGTACAAGTTGTGTCAGAAGACGGAGATCAAGTGAATAACAGACGAAATTGAAGAAAAAAAAAATCATGATTTATTTCGTATATGACATCAATATATATTGACTTAATATTGTAGAGGAATATAAAAGAAACAAAATGAAATTAAAAGAAAATGATAATATTGAAAGTAGCTGGGGTTGTTAGATAAAACGAAACATGTCTATTCTGATTATGAAAAAGTCCACAGAAAAAAACTCGAAAATTTGAGAGGTCACCGCTCCCAGGCCGTACATGGATGCGTCGCAAGCCAACTGCACTGGCTTTTCTGGGTCATAATGTACAAGTAGGCGATCGCTCGACAATTCGTCCTTGCAAAACCGGAAGGCCGTTTCACAATGAGTTGTCCACTCCCAGAATGTGTCCTCCCTCAATAGCTCGTGTAGCGGTTGTAAGGTGGTTGACAGGTTCGGTAGGTACTGCACATAATAGTTGAGTAGTCCAAGAAAGGACTTCAGCTCGGACACGTTCGTTGGGCTAGGATCCTGTTTAATTGCTTAGACCTTCACTTCGGTGGGTTGGATACCCTCCAGGTCAAGTAGATGGCCCATGTACTACACACTATTTTGTAAGAACTTACATTTGTCTTTTCGGAGACGAATGTTATGCTGATGAAGTCGTCACAAGACTTCTCCCAAGATCGCGAGATGTTCACGGTCTGTCGGTGCAGTTATCAGAATATCATCGATCCGACACATGACATGCTTAATGCCCGACAATATTTGGTCCATAACTGACTGAAAAATGGCCGGCGAGGAAGATACCCCAAACGGTAAGCGATGGTACCTGAACAGCCCCAAGTGAGTGTTGATTGTTAGGTACAGTTCTGACACTTTGTCAAGAGTCAGCTGTTGATACGCCTGGGACAGATCTAGCTTGGTGAACTTTTGTACTCCAGCTAACTGAGCAGACTTGTCATCAACGTTCGGTAAGGGGTACTGTTGTTCATCAAGAAATATTTAGGCATGTGAAAATTTTATTTAATTAAGTGATAAATATTTTTCAAATCAATGGAACATTTTATTGATATTTTAATAACAAACCTATTGATTTATCGTCTATGGACATCATTTTAAATGATATTTATGGATTATTTTACTTTCCAATTGGCAATAGTATTTTTATTTATTATCTAAACACAAGCAAACGATGCCGAAATACAAAGTTTATGGGATTGTTGCGTCAGAATAAAAAAAAGGGCGAAAGCAAATAAAAATAAAATGAAGTGTTATTATCGCAAAGATATTACACCTGTACCGAACATGCGGGGAAAATCATCGTCGAGGCCAGTCTCATTTCTTTAAAATGCAGAAAGACTGCAGCACAAAGTTAGGAGCGCAATACACGTATAAGACATGCTATTCAAAAACTATATGTAAGTTTACTATTCCAAGGTACAGAAAGAACAAAACCAAGATGTGTGATTTTTAAGAAAACATGTAACAGCAAGACGTAGGCAGTAGTAATGAGA